ATACGTTATCAGCCGTGAGGGCTGCGAGAACTTGGCCGAACGACTTTGCAACGACGGGATCGGAGCAAAGGTCTATCACGCCAAACTCAGCAATGACGCGAAGAAGGATCATTTGGCGGGATGGATCTCCAATCGGCCTGGCTACGATATCATCGTTGCTACAACTGCCTTTGGCATGGGCATCGACAAGGAAGATGTTCGATTCGTCGTGCATTGGCAGCTACCGAAATCATTTGAAGGCTTCTATCAAGAAGCCGGCCGAGCAGGTCGAGATGGGAAGGCGAGTATATGCATACTCTACTATGCCCTGGAAGATCGGATATGGCTTGAGAGAATGATCGAAATGCAAGCGGCGCAGAATCAGAAAAAGAAAAGCAGTACAGCTAGAACGGAGAACATTGAAGGACGGCGGAAAAGTTTTAATCAACTCGTCAAATACTGTGAAAAAACGACCAAGTGTCGGCATCAGATCATAGCGGACTACTTTGAAGACAAGCAGAAACCCGTTTGTGATTGGGCTTGTGACTGGCACAAAGATCCATCAAAGCTTCAAAAGGCCAAGAAAAGATTCGATGCGACAGGCCTCACTCCTTCCATGTCCCAAGCTATTGATAACCATCTAATGGATCATCGCCAGACCATGGCAAATACAGATCTGGAGTGGGTTGCTCAGGATTGATAGCTACACTCATCGGAGAGTCCATGTTAACTTATAACCTATATAATTTACTAACGAGCATGATAGCCCCTATCTCTCGACACTAATGTAATGCCGAATTCGCTATATGGTAATCAAACAACTTTGAAAGGCATTTTACGTTAGTGCTTACCAGCTGCTATTTCCCATTCTTCTCATCCTAAATGCATTTATTATTTTGATGCGCCGCTGTAACATTTTAGAGTCAAGATTCGCGCGCGAAGTGTTGAGCGGACATGCGTCAGAAGTTGCGACACAAGGCAGTTCTGGAGTTACCACTCTCTCAGGTCGAGGAAGACAAGAATGAAATAACAGTAGTGTGTATGAGGAGGAGATTCCGACATACTCCGTCCAGTTCCTAAGATTCAATGTTGCAGGAGGCTAGTTTTGATTTTAAGGCAGTGCAAGGCAACCAGGGCTGATGTAAGCACGAGCTGATTCTGCAAAGTGTACACTGTACAGATTGTAACTACCCGTAAGCCTTTTGGTGATGGTCCACAACAGCCAAAGCTGCAACCTCATCGCACCTCTCGCTCTACGGATCTTGCGGCCACCCGAACAGCGAACTGGTTCTACTATTGCGCATGAACTCCCAGGCTTCAACTAGGTACGCAACGCGAGAACAGCGAAGTTATCGTGATTTCTGGAGGCATTGGCTCATGATGTCGTGTAAATGAGTGGTGCGGATGCTTTGTCAAAGCTTAACGGGCATGGAGACAGGGCAGTGAGTAAGCCGCCATAAAGATGTGCAAAACATTTTGGACCAGTAGCATTCAACGATAGGGAATGTTACTCAAGGAGTCCAAGACTAAGCAATATCAGCCCTAGCTAGACTTCAAGCGTCTCAGATGTTGCATCCGTCGTCCAACGTCCATCCTCCACGCCCAATTTCGACATTCATCAGAGCCATCATCCATGAAATTTCGATCTTGGGAATCACGATATCACTGCCTACCGCACTTCTGCTCGACGTTGTCTGATGAAATGTCCCATCGGTCCTCGGTGCTTCGGTGTTGAGACCTCCTACTCACTCACTCCTCGATTCATTTCTTTCCGGTTCCAATGCCATCCTATTCTACCTATCATGACAAACCAACTCTCTGCCTAAGTAGGTGTGCTCTCATAACTTCTCTTTTCCTCTGTCATATCGCACTCGCCACCCCATGGCCCTATTGACCCCAAGTGTTGATATATCAGGGCCAGTGGTGGCTCTAGGGGAACTTATATCCTGTCCAGGCTGATGGCTGATTACCCATATCAACTAAATCTCCCATTTACCGATAGTACAAATTTTCCCATACTCTCAAGTTTAAACCTATCACAATCCTTGTCCTTGTATCACTCGTCCTTCAACATATCATTGAACAAAGATCCTTACTGCACATTTACCTTTTTATTCCCAGCGTCTATTGCATTGTCTTGCTTGAGGAAATATCTGTCATCTGCTAAATGTCCAAGCGAGGAAGTAAGTATAACAAGAACCAACCCACTAAATCTCCTGAGCAGCCTCCAGCGATAGCAGTATCAAACACTCCTTTTCATGGGAATGATTTTGTCCGAGAGGAACCAATTACAGCTCTTGCGTCAGAGGTTTATATACAAACCCCCGAAGCCGAAGCTTCGACCGCCGGGACTGCCCTACTACCTATAGAAGAAGCAACCGGGTATTCGGCAGGCTTCTTGCTATCCCCTGGAGGTGCCCTTGTGCCCGATTGGGATACCAATTTGAGTCTCAGTGATTTCCTGAACTTTTTTGAGCCTCAAGGCGAGCTGGCCGCAGCTTACCAACCGCATTCGTATCCCACCTTACAGGACTTTACAACTCCATTAACGCTTAGGTCTGATTCAGCTTGGTCGGCATCCCTTGCTACAGACCTAAAGTCCCCCGCTTCTAATGCGATTGGAGAAGAAGCATACGCCGATGTAACGGATCACTCTTTGCCGCCCAACATGTCTTTGCGAGGTGCAATGAAAAGGAAGGCAAGCTCCGTTTCTGAATTGCAAACAACAACTGAAGCTGGTCCTTCAACGTCTAAACGCCCTTCATTTGGGCGAACGGATTCGGCACGTATTGCATCCATGAGGGTTGAATCCGCTCAGCACAGTCGACGAGAGTCAACACAGCCCGAAGATGTGTCGGAAACTGCGGATGCGCAAGGGACTACAGACCAAAAGGCCTTCAGGAGCGGGTCCAAACCAACCGCCGAATCCTCATCTGTCACTGCACGAAAGGCATCTGAGATAACAGCAAGGCTCAGCCCTATATTACCAGCCGGAAAGGTCTTTCCCATCCGGATCGGAGCAGAACTTTTCCAGCTATCAGGCGCATCCATATCGTCAGACGGTGAGTTTTCTTGGTGTTGCGACTTCATTTCTCAACTCATAGCTGACAAACTTTAGCGCCTTCATGTTTTTCCCACTACTTTGGCGAGCAGTTGCTCCAAAGCGGCGGCAAGGCGAGCTCGGTTAAGACGCTTTACATTGATCGAGACGCTTCCACCTTTCAAGACATCGTACGACATCTCCAGGGTAAGCAACCAAGAACCCCTGAGCTTTTGACATAGCATCGTTTCTTATTGTAAGCACTTGATTAACGGGTCTCTAGGATACCACATAAAACCCCGCGACGGAGCACACTATGTTAGGCTGTTTGCAGACGCACAGTTCTACAGCTGTAAGTAATCCCTGTCCTGTCAGACGCTTATATATATCGACTAGGATGCTAATGTCACGTTTTAGTACCTCGCCTAACCCAACAACTGTTCAAATCCGAAATCTTTGTACAGGTCGGGGAGCGGCACTTTCAAATACCCCGAGATATCTTTTCAGCTCCAGGCGACTCACCCAACTACTTCTCTCTTGGATTCGCCCACTACTTCTCTTCACCCCTTGATTCTTTACCAGCAAATGAGGGACAGGCTTTACTACGTCCTCCTTCTATTCAGCCTCCAGTAGTCCCGAATCGTGATGGAGACATTTTTGCAGAGTTGATACATCTCCTCCAAGGATATGATATCGAGATTCGCGATGAAACACATCGCAACAAACTTCTTCGAGATGCCCGGTATTTTCATTTAAAAGGTCTGGAGCAGAAGCTTCTCCCCTTCGAAAAGTCCTTCAATCTTGGCCGGCAGCGGTATGAGATTGTCATGCGACTGGAAGATCTCAGACAGTCAGGAGTAATCTTTACACCAGACCCCGACTCAACTTCAGGCCAAGCGCCCGCTGATCTCAGCAAGCCAGCAACCCCGCATAGCATCATGGGTGGTAATGTAGACAGTGGAGCATCCAGACCAATGGGATGGATTTCCTATCAGCGGCCATTCGTTGATGAGAATACGTCAGATTTGGTTGTTGATATTACAGGGCCCCGTGAATCCATTCGCCTGGATCCAAAGACACTGCGAGTAACATTCTACGGCGAGGTGCGTGCTCGCATCACTAGTCTTTTTCAAGTTATTGCAAACAAAATGGGTTTGCCTGCAACGCTACCTCTTGGGCTTATGATGATACAGAGTGGCGGAGGTGTGGCGGCTCAGCCTGTCAGCCCTGCTAATTCTGGTGTCAGCGGGGATAGAGTAAAAGTACGGTTCGAAAGGGATTCATGGGTCGAAGTAGATGGTAAGGAGCTCGACTGGGACGATGAAGATGAAGATGAAGGAGATGATGAAGATTACGACTCTTGTCCTAATCTTAAAGAACCTGCCGATCAAATCATGGAACGGGACTGGGTAGTAAAGCGTTCTCTATGGCGCTTGACTGTGGTGAACTCTAGCGAGTCTGGGAAACCTGAGGTGGTTATGGTAGTTGTCAAAGTGGAGGCTATCACGGATCAGAGAAGCAGGAACAGGAAAAGGGGCTTCATAAGTTCATAGACATTCTGCATTAGACTTATGTGATACAGCTTATGCGAGATATCATATATTATTTGCCATTCCAGGCTGTTTCTGTATTCTACTCTCTTCTTCTTTCGAAAAACTCTAATGCTTTCGTGTCAAGAGATCTACTACTATTCCTGGAAGTCCATATCACGCGTTTACGTTGACTGTTTGACTGTCTAGATGGCGCAGACACTACATTATTATACACAGAAAACATACCTGGTACCAAGTACGATTTACAATAGCCATTACAGCGTACTATTCAAATCCATATATATACCGAGTTAGTTCTTTTGATGTGGAATACTGATGAAAGGTCGGGGAGGACCAAAAAAAGAAACTTAAAACTATCAAAAAGAAATAACTTCGATTTCTTGTGTATCCCCCAAAAATAGATAACTTCTCACAATTGAGAATTAAAACGACCCTCACGCGACTCGAACGCGCAGCCTCGTCCTCGCTATGCCACTGAGGGTAATAGGAGGGACGCGCGCTACCATTGCGCTGTAATATGTGGTTAGCCATGGGCTGACAAAGGGAGTTTCGTGGTACTACACACCCAAAGGGCCTTAAACTGGAACTAAATTTCAGTTTTACAGCTCTGCAAAACGGACGCAGATCAGCTCAAAAATTGCTTGTTTTTAGTTATATTAAATACATTTTAAGTCTGTGACGGTATCCTGCATTTTTAACTACTTGCGCCTTCCATCTCCATGGTATAACCATTTCCATATCGAGTCATATCATACAACGCTCATATTTTGGTTCCAACAAGTTCGAGCAACAGTTTGGGTTCTGCTGATGTTGGGTTGCAATTTGATAAAACTGGTAACTCTAGAGAGGAGTAATTGATCAGTCCGTCTTCTACCACAAGCATAACGAATTTATACTTCATGCCGGCAACTTTGCTGTTCTATGATGCTTCTTTCAACGCCATCAAGATGACAAAATGTTTAGTTGATATATCTGCTGAATGATGGTTCACAGCTCATGTTGAGATTACAAAACCGCAGCAAGGACAATGCTTCCAAAGGCGAGGTCAACAATTAGTGGACGATCTATCCAAGTGAATTCCCTGCACCTTGGTCCTTAAAGCGCGCCGTATCCGAGTGCCATGTTCTCGTGGTTCAAAGGACAAGTTCCGCCCTCAATTAGAAACTCTTTCAGCTCTGGCCAAAGACTATCCCTGAGATCTGGCCATATTTGCCAATGCTCAGCATACGGCTCGGTTTGTCCCCACAAGTTCCCACTAACGTCTGCATCCTGCAGGTTCATTGTCTGCTGAATAGTAGTCAAAAATGTTATCCACGAACTGTCAAGGGTGATTCCCTCTAACACAAGTTCCCTAAAGGTGTGATGGTGCTTTGCTGCGAACGACAAAAATTCGCTGCTTTGTATGAGTACGGTACTGAGCTCCAGATATTGAAAACGAGGCCATGTTCCATTTTTGTCGAAGATATCATCGAAGCTCGCCCCACATGTTCCGTCTTCGTCGCGGTAGTCGAAAGTCACGGACAGCTTCTCGAGGTTTGGTAAAGCTTTAATAAAACGGCGTAAATGTCCGTCTTCCATAGCCTCGCTACATTCGGTAGCTTCCAGGCCTTCGAACTCAAATTCATCCCGACCTCCTTCTTCCGTAATTCCTGCAAGCTCTTCTCTCAGTTCTTGAACCTCAGTTATACCAAGGCTCGTTGTGATCTGCAATACAAGAGTTGTGAGGTGGGATAAACTGGGCAGCACATGAGACAGATCCGACACCGAGAACTGAGGAAAGAATCTCCAGCTGATGTAGCCGACTTCAAGCTCTTTCAGCCGCGTTTCTGACTTGACTACAGCCTTGAGCAGGGCATTGAGATCCGACACTCCCAAAGGATCCGATATTTCGCCCAAATGCGCACCCAAACTGTGTGCGTCCCAGGGACTATTGTGATAACTGATTTGAGATGTCAGAGAGATTGATTCCAAGTTGCTGAGTTTACTGAGAGCAAAGGTCCAAACATTGTGGTGAATCTTGTTGCGAAGGATCACATCCTGAGTAATCGCAGTGGCTCTATAGACCTCATATTCTTCTTGCAGATTCCTCTTCGGGCGCGGCCTGACCAGACCTTTCTTTGCCAGGTTTTTTCTGATGAGTAGCTCATTGATTTCTTGCATGCGAATCTCACTCTGCTCAGCTTTGGCGACGTGTTCTTCGTTTGAAAGGACTGGATCCATAAGGCCATCGATGTCCAGACGTAGCGATCGTACGGCCTGACTGGCGGCTTGATGAGAGGCCAGCTCCGAAAGCCTAAGAAGACTACGGTGATGTAAGTAAGCCACAGCGTCTTCGAATAAGTACTCCAGTCCAATTTCCGAAAACTGCCAGCAAGACAGCCTAAAGTTTGCAATATCTGCTGGGTCCAGACATCGGACAATCATGTGCATAAGTTCAATGGGGAAGGGTGTCATGATTGATGGTGTTCCTGCGAAGCTGAAATTTTTGAAGCTGTGGTGAGCTCAGAGGCTGGTTTTGAAATTCGATTGCGAAGGAAGCTTTTTGAGATTCATAACGGAAGGATTCCTCAATCGGTCTTATATACGCCAAATGAAGTCGAGTTGTTGTTGGGAACTCAGGGACCGTACCGTAGGGTAGCGACGCGCTCCACACGCGTGGTCCCCTGAGCTGAAAACGCCGCGCACGTAATGATGATCATGGATGAAAGCTCCATCGAGATTCAAGATGTCTATCACTTGGCCCTTGAATTGCCAACCATCAACCGCCATCAGAGCATTCTTGGAATCCCACACAAAAGTTGGCAGGGAGAACGCCTTGGACGCCTTTGCCCCTTCTCTGGCTAAGCAGGTCTTTAGACCTAAATCACGAAACATCTTGAACTTCAGCATACCTAGTCGCACAATACAGCTCAATCCTCGTCCTGATAATTTGGAAGCTAGCTGAAATTGAGCTGTTCCTTCATCCTTCCACTCGAGTTGCCTCAAGGCGCAAAGTTGTTAGAACAATGATCTTGATTCAACAATGACACCTGCCGCTCACAACATTTTAAGCTCGCCTATCCACGAAAGTTTGCGATTCAAATTAAATGACATTCAAGGCAGGTCGAGCCTGAAAGAGCATTGATGGCCAAAGCGGTCACTGTCCTTGCCTGCAGCACCCGATTACCTAGCAAGTTCCGCAGCACTTGAGCCAGAAGCATATAATGATTTATTATCTACCAAATACAAAGTAAGTCGCTTCAAGATGTGATGATGCGATAGTCCCGAGTCTCGCCTGAATAAAGTATGTATATTTTCGAGATCTGTTGTTATATCGTAATGCGTAACACAAGACCGAGATGTTGAGATAATGCCGATTTCAAACCAAGAATGCCTTCGTTCCCAGCCTCGATAGTCGGTCCCTGGCTTCCTGGAGTTCCAAATCGTCGTTCATAGTCTATAGATTACACAGTCAGATAATGCTCTTCAGGATCAGATATTGACCAGACTGGGAAAACTGCGTACCTCTCCCGCTTGCTGACTGCTTTCTCTCAACAGTTATTTCCTGCAGATTTGGCAGCTGGCCCCCAAGCTTTCTTCCTTCCAGTATGGATAGAAGCTGTATGGCATCTTGAGGTGTGGATACTTTGCCCAGGCGCAAAGCACGTAGTGATCGCGGCAAACATCTGAGTACGACAGAATCTATGCCTACTGCACTAGACCATTCAATTACCAGCTGGCGAATGTGACTGCTTTCAAGGAATGGACAGAAAAGCAATGTTGTTTGAGGATCAGGAGCAAAATTCTCAAGAACGACTTCAAATCTGAACAGTGTATGCCTTCGAACCGCATTTAGTGCTGGCAAAAAGGTTGAGTTGAAAAAAGCCGGGGCAGAAGGGTTCAGAATGAGAGATTCACGTATGCTTAAACCCTCGGGGCGAAGCGAGCGGAGGACTTCTCGAGTAAGGCATGGACTAGTTCCCAGTGGTCTAGAGTGGGATCCCCATGCTAATAACTGAGTTGCTGCTGGTCGCAGCGATGGTATTATGTCCCAAGTCTGTAAGATGTCGAAGGCAGGAAAGCGCTGCGACGGTTTCCATTGGGCTACTGGTTGAATAACCAGTGAAGTGGAGTCTTCTCAGGCTTGAAATCGGACGGAGAAATGCAAGAGAATGATTATCGGTATGAACTGTGAGATCCGTAAGGTTTGGAAAGCAGGTATTGAGGGACCGCAGCAGTGTGTCATAAAGAGCTGTGTATTCTGCTCTGTTATCATGTGGGAGCCTGTAATCTTTTAGCATAAAATCATTACAGTAAACACGTGTATAGCATAAATTTGTCGGTACGCTCACGTCCTACTCTATCCAATACTCGTAGAAACAGGCATGTATAAGGCACTAGTCAAGACAATTCTCAAGATGCCTGCTGGCTTCCAACTTACTTGTACACTGCTAACTTCGTCACATTGCTCATCAGCTGTAGGGTGGATCGCAGGCGTGCGCATTCCTCATCGGCGACAATGCTGGATTGGCCATGATTTCCATTCGTTAAGCCCACATGTTCGCTTAGAACGAGGGAAAAGCTCAGAGCATCAACGTGGTGTAGATTTGACGTCCCTGCTCTTTGAATCCAAGTATACAGATCATCTTGAGACTCGAATGTGAGTGGCCGACGATACATAAATGGTAAGGTCTCGTTATAGATTTGGTGTGAGACTCTAAGAACCTGCGAATTGGCGTCACCGCTTTCGGAGAAAACCAGATTCCAGATTCGATCTCGAATGGCTATGGGAAGATTTGTAAGGGCTGGCATAAGTGAAGACTTGGTACGAATTAAGTCTGGAATTTTGAGGCAGTCGGGGAAGAGTGAAACACAAACTCTTGATATCTAGAATGAAGCCAAAGTGAGATTCAGATCTGCGCTATATGTGAGATAGTGCTAGTGAATGGAATGACCCGCCTTCAAATCGAGATGGCGCCTCTACTTCGATAGCGGGCGCCCACAAGGGAACTAATGAATAACAGATCACTTCGAACGTGCCTACATGTCACAAAAAAACATGACAAGAGGAAACAAGAAGAAAGAAATCAGACCCCAGCTGGGTTTCTACCTTCTCAATTTGGTACCTTTGTAAGATCCTCATTTCTCTCTCCACCAAGAAGCATCACCAAGAGTGATGCAAGCTTGGTTTACCCTTGGACAGCTCAGCCACCCGAGCAGTTGCTTGTTACTGTATAAATGTCCCTGATAAAACAGTTTTGGTGGTCCGATTATGGACTTGATAAATCATTGATTGGGCAACAGAGATCCTGGAGGAGATATCGGACAGCGTTCTACTAACCTGTTCAATTGGAACGCTTGAGCCCGATCCACGCCTATCTAATCCAGCCCGGCTATCGAGCGATTTGAATCTACATAGTGATGAGACCTGGCAGTTCATAGGCTGACTTGCAGCAGCAGTCACAATCCATGTCGGAGCTTGGCTGAGCCGAAGCAGACCGCTCAGTCGTGAGTTCTACCTGCTGGTGGAACAACTATCGTCG